TGAACTTTCAGTATATTAGTTCCCAATAGTTTCTAAGTAATTGTATTGAATTAGGATCCATTTATTCAGTCATCAGAAATTGATATTTCCTCATTAGTAAGGTACCTTGCTTGCCCTTCAGGAGCTTGCCAGCTATTTGAGAGACAAATGATGACGACCCCTACCAGTAATTTGATGTGGTGAGTTATGTGAAAGGCCACGTGCAAAGATCATGGGCCATCCTTGTGCTCCGTCTTAGCGTGAGACTAACCCATAGATCTACACATGGAGTCCACACTGAAAACACTGTTCCTTGCTTGTTATGTGGCTTGGAATAACAGGTGCCTTTTCTGTATTTGTCCCTTTTATATTGTCTCTTTCCTGTTTCCCTCTCCTTACTCTCACCATACTCCTCTCTCTCCCAGCCATCACCACATTTGTCCAGGTCTTTCACATTTTCTTTGTCTAAATGATTTATTTCCCTGTTTCTCTTCCCTTGGCCTCCAAGAAGTGACAGGTGTTTGGAAACTGATTCCACCATTCACTAAGCAAATTATGTGACCTGCCAAAGCCTCAGTTAACTGATCTATAAAGTGGGTTAGTAGTTACCTTAAAATGTTGTGAAGATTGAAATAAGATACAAAATTTCAGTTGTAAACTCTCATAGATGCTCATTAGCATTTGTGAAGTGAGTTAGTTCCCTTCTTAGAGCCATCAGTATATGAATTTGAAGAATTTTTTTAATTACCTAAACTATAAAAAGAGTAGATGTTAATACTTGAAGATTTTTTAAGTGATTGTTAGTATCTCCTTTGCTCTATGATCACATCACATTCTAAGTATAAAAATTTTTTGTCTTTGCCTCTTTTATTACAGCTGTGCTGAGATATAATTCATCACTATAAAATTCACCCTTGAAAATATACCATTCAGTGGTTTTATTATGTTCACAGAATTGTACAACTATCACAACTAATTTTAGAAAATTTTCATTACTCCAAAAAGAAAAAAAAGAAACCCCCATACCCGTTAGCAGTCACTCCCTATTCTTCCTCACCATAACTCCTCGTAACCACCTATCTATTTTCTGTCTGTGGTTAGCCTGTTCTGGCCATTTTATACAAATGGAATCAAACAATATATGATCTTTTGTGTCAGGTTTCTTTCACTTAGCATGTTTTCAAGGTTCACCCATGTTGTAGCATGTATTAGAACTTCATTCCTTCTTGTGGCTGAATAATGTTCCACTGTATAGATAGAGCCCACATTTCGTTTATCCACTCATCACTTGGTTACCGACATCTGGGTTGTTTCCACTTTGGGCCTATTATGAATAAGGCTGCTGTGAACTTCTATTCGAGTACAAGTTTTTATGTAGACATATGTTTTCAGTTCTTTTGAGTATATGCCCAGGAGTATAATCTTTAGTTGATAAAAGAATTTTCATTTCAAAGCAAAGAATTCTCATCATGAGAGAACTAAAGGTTCTTACTGGGGTAATTGGGGGTATTTTTTTTTTTTTAAGATTTTATTTATTCGAGAGAGAGAAAGACAAAGATAGCAATAGCATGAGGGAGCCGAGCGAGCACAAGCAGGGAGGAAAGGGAGAAGCAGGCTCCCTGCTGACCCTGGGATCATGACCTGAGCCGAAGGCAGCTTAACCTACTAAGCCATCCAGGAGCCCCTGGGATATTGTTTTCTCTACTGGTTCCTTAATATTGAAGTTTTTTTGTTCCTTGAAGTGCTTGGCTTGTCATAGAAACCAACACAAAAGCAAGAGTCTTTTCTGAAAGGATGAGAACAAATGCCCCCAACATAATTAAAAGATGCTTGTATTAGCATAAGGTAACAAAATAACTGCCAAATCCTCCTTTATTCTTACCAAAACAGTTTATTTGCATTCACTTTACAAAGTACACTGCAGAAATCAGGAGAAAACCCTCCTAAAAGGATGCAAATTAAGGAAAAGTTAGATTAACATGAACTCATTTCAGATGTATCCTATCTTCTCCAGAGAATAAAGTTTTAGAGTGAGGGTAAGAATGTTTCCTGTTCTCTGAGCCATCTCCCTTCCCAAACCAAACCAAACTGAACTGAAAGGGAAGAGGAGGGGTCTGGAATGATGTCTCCATTCAGTTTAGGAGCAGGCTTTAAGCACTGCATTTACCTTTATAGAAAACTGGAAAGGGGAAAAATGTCTTTGACAGGGAACTCGCCATTGAGCATCATATAGTCAGTCACACAGAGGTCGCTAATCATTCTTTTTCTTGTTTTTCAGTGAACGAGATAATTGGGAGAGACATGTCCCAGATTTCTGTTTCCCAAGGAACAGTGGGGAGCAGGCAGGCTCCCCTCCCGGGTCCCGATTCCCTGGATATAGGAAGATCCGATGGGCTCTGACAGTGCTCACTGCAGCCATGTGTCCACCACCATGTACTTCTCAGCATGTTTCTCTCCTTGGACCTTGGGTTTCCAACTCTGTGGCCTTCAGGACTGGCACCAGGAGTTGGGATCACTGTATGTGGGGAAAGCAGCATTCCTCCACCTCAGGCCTTGGGTAGATTTTGTAAAAGAACAGGAGCAGCATAGACTGAGCTTTGGGGAAATGAGCTTTGCTTTTTGTATTTAAATAGGATACTTTTATATGATGGGTGCTTTGAGTGTGAATGCAGCAGGCTCTCCATTTCAGAGGTGCTGCTTTTGCAAGTGACTTGGTTGCTTAGCTATGATTGGTGATTTGTACTCCTTTATGGTCATTTGAAGGACTCTTTAGCTTTGATGATATTTTTAAAGTAGGAACTTTTGATAAAACCTTCCAGAGGCAAACATGAAAGAAAAAAAAAATTCTAAGCCCACACCTATGCCTCAGAAACTCAGCATGTCCTAAAGCCTTTCATAGATTTATAGGAAATAAAGCCAAATGTAGCTCATACCTCTTTATAAAAGTAAACTTAAAGAAAAGACCATTCCAATCATTGACGTGTTGGAATATAAAACGACATTCCAGAGCGTAGCCGTTTTGTAACTTCCTAGGTAATCTTGCTGCAGTCTCTCCATACTGACTCCGTGTTGAAATTGCTTTTTTCCCTCAGGGCCTTGGATAAGATAGCTACATGTAAGGTGACTTTGAAAGGTGGGTTTTTTAGCTTGGTATCTTTAATAGCCTGCCATCCTGCAAACAAGTAGGTTGTGGAGTGCTTTTCCCTTTTGTGTCCTCTGGTCCCAGACCTTTTCTAACTGGGAGTATCTGCATTTGGCTGCTCTATAACCTTTGAAGCCACAGCCTCATGATGGTTTAGGCAAATCTGCTGGTTCTAACTCATCTCTAGAGGCCAGGCTGTGTCAGAAGCTAAGCACAAATGAGCTATATGCTTCAGAAGACCAGAGGAAATACAGGACTCCAGAAGGGAAGCTTTTAAGATTCACAATGGCATGGAAGGCTTATCCGTCATTCTGTTTACAGCCTAAAATGATTCTGGCCTACCCTCGTCCCATCTGCATGGCCTGAAAACCATCCTTTTCCCCAAAAGGCTTTGAGGCAAACCCAAACATGAGGTAGCATCATAGACCTGACCCTCCACACCAAAGATGCCCCGGTGCTGCTGCTGGTGAGGCTGGTGCCCAGGGCAGGGGCCAGCAAGAAACTCCAGCCTGCTGTCTACCAAAGGAGCTGCCCAAGTTGGGTGCTTTTTCCAAACCCTGCCCTTCCCCCTCCCTTTAATGGGATTAGTACCTATTCCAAGGCTGGGCCCATTTCAAAGCACCTGAAGTTTGCAGTATGTTCTCAAATGAAATCATGTAATTTCATTTATTCAGGAAGGAAATTTTTGAGTGCCTATATGCGCGACAATGTGCTGAGCTGGTCAAGGGCTTGATGATGTTACTCCAGGGGATTATGAGTCCTAGATGCCAGGACTCTCAACTGAGGCCAAGTAAGGCCTGGGCAGGGGGAGCTGGCTCGTTGCCCACCACCTCTGGTCAGCCAGGTAGGAGCTGTTGGCCTCCTACAGGATAAAGATGGTCTTTTTTTCCCCTTCAAACCATGATTTAGATTTTTTCCCCTAAACCTAGTTAGAGCAAAGTGTCTATCCTTCAGCAAATCACTCTGGTCCCTCCTGGAGCTGGGTGCTTTCCTATTTTGTTTAAAAGTTTTGTGTCCGAGTGTGGATAGTGAGATTTGCTTCAGGGCCTGTAGTTGGCAGCCCACAGCTTCCTTTGGAGGGGTTGTGAGAGGTGGCCCCTGACAGAAGTTCCGGACAGTTGGCCGGACTTGCCTGCACCCTCTTGCCCCTGGGGTAGCTGCCTCACATGGGATTCTTGCAAGAGTTCCCCTTACAAGACCCTTTGGGGGTTGCTCTGCTGCCCTCAGGAATAAAAGCCTCTATGATCCAGAGTTGCTATGCACCAAATTTTGATGCCTTTTAAATACCTTGATGCCTGTAGCACTAGAAATGCTTTCCTATTTAAAATAAAAGTTAAATTTTAAAAGAGCTTTGTATAATATATAAGCAGTCTTGTATCATTTTGTAAAGTCTTTGGTTTAAGAATATTTTTTGGCTTTGTAGGTAAAGACTAAACTTTTGTGCAATGTAAGTGATGCTAAAGCACATGTTCATTGGACTATGCAAATTGACTTCTAGTAGCAACACTGAGCAACTGGGCATGTCTTAGCACCTACCCTACCCCTTCCAACCTGTGCTACATCTTGGTGTGAGGAATGGGATAAGCAGCCTTCTACTTACTAGAGATACAGAGAGAAACACGGCTGAGAACAGCTCTAAAGGGACTAGATGTCCTGTCTTCGGTTCACGTGTGGTACATGCAGTGCAGTCCACCCCTGCCAGGGGCTAACTACTATCACCAGAGCCCTGCTGGATCTGGCCAAGAAGCCCTGGGGGAGGAGGGGGCTGTTTTTGTAAAGATTTATTTATTTTGAGGGAGAGGGAGGGAGACCCCGAGATCACCTGAGCCAAAACCAAGAGTGGGACTCTGAACCGACTGTGCCACCCAGGCACGCCTCCCCTCCCCGGACTTGAAGCCCTGTTTTTAATATTCAGAATAGATGGTCATCTTCAAGGCTCAGATGGGCTCAAGTTGAAACCTTCTATTTTATAAAATGGGCGATGTACAGTTAAGGAATTGGTTCCATGTTTACAGGACGTGGAATTGTGTTTTCTTACACACTTTGTATTCGAAAACCTCGTATAGGAGTCTAGTGCTCCTTACACAACTTAACAAAGGGGAGAGCCAGCAATTCATGGTTCCTCAGTTACAGGGCTGAAATAATAAATGGTGATAGGTTAACAGTGTCCTGGAAATCCACCTGAGTTTACCTCTGCCCGGGGCAGGTCTGGAGCCCCACACTGTGGGGTCCAAAGCTAAGGGCATTTTGGCTTTTAAAAAGTCCACTTGGTTAGGAACCTTTGTTTATTTTACGGAGGAGTGAGTAGAGTTCCAAATTCCTTCCGAAGCTTCAGTTCTGTACCCTCTAATGGGTGCAAAGGACATTCCACGATGTCTGCTGAGTTCAGGACAACTGGCCTGCCCAAGGTGTGCATGAAAAGTAGGCAGAGTCCCCTTTAAAATTCAAGCCCGAGTTTTTCTGTGAGGGCCTCCTGCCCCCTAGTGTCCTCTGGGGATATTGCAGTACAGTCCATCAAAATAGCCTGTGATCTTGCCACATGATAGTCCTTGTGCCAAGCTGGAGGAGAGCTATTACCCTTAGACCCAAGACACAATGTGGCCACTAAGGGTCAAGTATCCTGGGGCCTGGGGCCAGCATTCTCTGCCTCCCTGCCCCCTGCCAGAAGGGAAAGGGGAAGGTAGAACATTGGGATCTTTATGCAGAAGCTCCCAGGAGTCATACGTTGAAGGCACCAGGGCTTACATTTTTAAAAAGCCAGCCAGCCTGCTGTGGACATCAGCCCCATAGAATCTGTGTGTATGGGCCACAGCCAAAACCAACCAAAGGCTCTCTTGGTGCTTTTCAGAGAGGCCGGATCAGGCCATCGGGAGGAGGGTAACACCATTCCACCCCCAGCCCTGCATGCAGGGTCCAGCCATCAGCTTTGGGGTGGACAGGCAGAGCAACAAGCGGGAGATGGAGCTGGGGGGGCTTGAGCTCCTCTAGGTGCTTTCTGAGAGCTCTGACAAGCCCAGAAAGCAGGCACCTGGTTGAGGGTAGTGGTTCTCTGGATGCCGAGACAGACATGATAGACATAAGCCAGCTCTTACCTCCTGGCTCCCTCACCTACAAACACACCCACTCTTTGGGGGCCTGTAGCACAGTGCGAGGCGGGTCACCAACAGGCATCAAACTGGTGTAGTCATCAGGGGCTAACTGCAGAAGAAACAGAGATTTAGGGGAGGGAGCTCCAGGCTTAGCCAGGTTCCCAAGCCCTCCAGCCACACCTCACCTGATAGGCCTGGAAGACGCTGAGCAGATCCTTCATACCAGCTGTATATGGGACACCCTGCATACGGACCAGGGCTCCTGGCTGGGACAACACTGAGGTGGAAGCAGAGGCCAGGGCAGCAGGGGGTGTGGTGAGGTAGCCCACAGCGGTGGGGGAGACTGGGGGACTAGGATGGGAGAGGCAGGGATTTAGGAGTGCAGTCCCACCGATGGCCTACACCGAGACCCACCTCCCTCTTCCCTTGTCTCCGCTTTGTGCTTAGTTCAGTTCCTCCTCCCTAAAACCGCTGTCTCCAGAGTCCTCCCCATTCTAATTTGTCGACAGTATCTTCCAGACCGTACCTGTCACTCCCTTGTCCATCTTAGATTAAGCTGCAGCTCTTAACAGACCTTGGATTATCTGGCCCAGGAAGGGGACCATGACCCTCCGTCACACCAGAATGGGGGCAAGACTGTGGGGTTTTCTTAGCAGCTGGTACCTGGGGTAGTAAGCTGTGTAGTTCATGTAGAGTTGAGCGGCTGGCCCTGGGTAGTAGGCAACAGGGGTAGGGGCAGCAGGTACCCTGGCAGCCGGGAGCAGTGCTGAAGAGGGGTACAGAGCGGCTGTCTCAGCGGGAATGAGTGCTGGGGTGGCCTGGAAGGTGGCGTAGGTGGGTGGTGAGAGGCCTGGAGGCAGAAGTAGAGAGTGCATCTGCAGGGAGCCCAGCACTGCCCTGGGTGAGGCAGCCAGAAGAGAGCCCCCACTGTAGAAAGTGAGGGTTATAACAGCTTGTCCCCTACATGCCTCCTTCCCCAGCCCCTGGGACACTCACAGGGCAGCTTGCAGGGTGGAGGGGACATGCCACTGCGGCCCAAGGTGCCCCCCATTAGCACACGGCTCATCTCCTCTGTGGAGCAGGGGACCACTTCCACATAGCGTTCCTTCATCACTTTCTTATGGCAACGCTGAGCAACAGCTAGGGCCCGTTGCGCTGATGTCATCTGGATGAAAGCATCGCCCGATGGCCGGCCCTGTGCACACGGTAGTCTTGTGAACAACCTGTCACGCGCAAGAGGACCTCACTCCCAACCCCACAGCCCTCTCTAACCATGCAGGTCTCTCCAGTGACAGCAGCCTCACCTGCTGGTTGAGCACCATGTGCACACCGTGGGGCCGGATGTCAGCAGCTGCCTCCCCGAGAAAGCTCAGAATGTCTTCGATGGTGGCTGTGTAGGGCAGGCCTCGAAGGCGCACACAGTCTCTCCCAGTCCCAGCGGCCAGTGGGAAGGGGATGGGGAGCAGGGGAGCAGCGAGTGCGGGCAGGAGTGGGCTGGATGCATAGCGGTTCAGGACCTGGCCAGGAAGGCAGCAACAGGCCGGTGATGCCAAGTAGGGCAGGGGTACAGGGGGGATGGAAAGGGTCCCCGGGAGAAGCACCTGGGGGGAGGGGGAGCCCTGGGTGCTCACCTGCTGCACCTCAGCCGCAGTGCTCCGGAAGAGTTCAATGTATCGCTTACCCAGCATGCCCTTGTGCCTGCGCAGCGCAGCCTGTGCCAGGTCCTCACAGGCAAAGAGGGCAAAGGCGTCACCGGTGGGCCGGCCGTCAGGGTGGCGCACAAAGAGCAGCCCATCCGCACCCCCTGTCACTGGGCACTCGGGACCCAGAAAGCCTAGCACATCCGCCGGCCCAGCCGAGAAGGGCAGTCCCCGTAGCCTCAGTATCACTTGGTCTTCCCGGGACAGGAACCGAGCCACCTCCAGTGATGTGCCTTGGTGAGAGGCATGAGAGTCACCTACTGACTTCATTTGTGCCCTTCCAAATACCCAGCTACACCTGGCACGCAGGGGCACAGAAAGGCGGGGGGTGGTGGGCAAGGGGGGACATGGTCAAGAGCCAGGGGAGCCAGGTGCGGTTGGGAGCACACTCACCCCCTGCGATCTTGACAAACTCTTCTCCTGTTGCTTTGTATACCTGTGGGGACAATGGGGACAGCCCATGGGTCTCCAGCCTGGCAGGCCTCAGCTCCGCCGGGCTTCACTCCCAGCCCGAAGCCCCACCTCGATATAGCGGACGCCCATGTGGTGCTTGTGTCTCTGCAGCGCTAGGTCCCGCTGCTCGCTGTCCACAAAGCGGATGAGGGCCTCGCCGTTTCTGCGGCCCTGGGCGTTGAGGCAGAGTGCTACACCTCCCCTGCGGAGCCAGGGCTTTGTTAGCGCCTCCTGCGCAGGCCTGCCCTCCCGAGCCCACCGCCGTGCCGTACCCACCTGGCAATGTTGAGTCCTTTGAAGAACCGAGCCACATCCTGGTCTGATGACTGCCAGGGCAACCCACGGGCCCGAACCACAGTCTCACTGTCCACCGCATCGGCCTTGCTGCTGTGGGGGCAGGGCGCAGAGTCAGAGCTGTCCGGCTCTTGGCGCCCCCCACCCCTGCCCCCACACTCACCAAGGACCTGTCTCATATTTCTGCTTTACCACCTCTGCCTTCGAAAACAATTGACCTGAGAGGAGATGGCATGGGGGTCAGCAGGGTCTGGTGGAGGGGGGTCTCCCCACCAAGCTCTGCAAAAAGAGGACAGTTGAGGGGGATAAGGAGGTGACAAAGGAGCTTCTACCTGTGGTCTCTCGAAGGTTAACAAGTGGGGACGGCGACTTTGAGGAAGTTAAGAGGCAGACATTCGCCCAGTCCTGAGAGCGGGTGACAGGTGGTGAGGGGAACCTTACCACTGGGCCCTTCGAGCAGGTGGAGGATGACAGCTACCATTGTCTTCACTTCCCAGACCCCAAAGTCATCCTCTGTGGCATCTGTCTCCAGCCCCAAGTCTATGAGCAGAGAAATAACAATAAGGAAATCCCAACATGAGAGGCAAACACATTTGTTCTGATCCAGCTCATATATGCCTGTACAAGTCCCCATCCCAGACATAGGCAGACATATGTCCCTATTTCAGACACACCCCAGCACAGACACAGAGGCATGTGTCCTCAAGAACTTGGCAGATAATGTAACCTCGCATTTGTTTATATAGCCCTCCAGGATGCACATACTCAAAAACAGCCTATAGCTTCCCCTCCACCCTAACCCTTCTGGGTCACTGATACCCTGTGCCATGGTGGCCACGGTGAGCTCCCTGGCAGGGCAGGCGCTTGGGTGCTGCACATGGAACTCTCTGCGGAGGTCGTAGAAGGAGAAGAAGGTGTCGGGGAGCACCAGGTTCTGGGGGCACATGGGAGTGGGCATGAATTGGGGGGGAACTGAGCTGCCCTTCCCACCCCCATGACAGGGGTCCTGGGAGCCCTACCCCCTGTTGTGCCCTCAGTGGCATACCTTCCTGGAGGCCTCAGGGTGCAGGACCTGTCGCAGCAGCTGCTGCCCATCAGTGCATAGCATGTAGGGGCCCCCGCCTAGCAGAGCCACATCCCCGCTCACCAGCTGTGAGAACTGGGGATAGGGAGTGGGGAGAGAGACAGACACAGACTCACAGCTGGGCGGGCACGAGGGAGGGCAGAGGCTGCAAAGCTGGTTCGGCTAGCTGTTTAGCCCTCCCCTGCCTGGGGAGGAGTCGGCCACAGGCGGGGGCCTGGTTCTGTGTCCCTTTTCTCCCCCAGTCCGCTGTCACCTTCTCCAGGCCAAATGGGGGCAGTCACATATCACCCAAGCCCCCATCACACACACTCCCAAGAGTCTGGAGTGGGGCCAGAGCAAACACCTGGTGGAGTGCGACAAGCAGGTGGGAAGGGGCGGGGCAAAGCAGGTTAAACCTGTCCCTGACCAGGCACCACCCTCAGACAGGTGGGGGAGGCCCAATCCTGCCTGAGGCCCAGCAGGCTCATGGTCAACAGCAGCCCCACCTCTAGGTCTGACCAACCGAGGGGCAGAGAAAATCCAAGGACAGAGAGCTCCACACCTGGACGCCAGGGGCAGCATGAGCTTTGACCCACACCCTATCGACCGGTTGGCACGGAGTTGTTTGCTCACAGAGGGGGTGGCACTTCTCAAGCTGCCCAGCCCCCCGCCCCCCCCCCCAGCCTTCCTCCGTGCTGGAGAACAGGTAGAAGCACTAGGCACAGGCCCAGAGCGAGCCAACCCAGTTCTCCTTCAGCACACTCCCCAAGTAGGGTCTAACCTGGGAGCCCTTCTGGAACAGGACCAGGTTCAACACCTTTGTACCTCATCAAGAACCTCCCAAGTTGTTGAAAAATGAAAGAATCTGCGCCTGTAAAGCACTTAAAACTCATTACACTCGAGAGTCAGGCACAGGGTGAGTGCAGTAGCGGAGATAAGAAAAAGAAAATAGCATCGGGAACCGCCTCCCACTTCAGCCAGAGCTGGGACGCACCCGGGGCCTCTGCACCCAGGAGACAGGTAGCCTTCAGGCGGGGTCGGGACAGCGCCCACGCCTGGCCAGCCGGCCGGGACAGGCCTAGACGAGCAAGCTTACACCTGGCGGCGTCCGCCTCGGAGGCAGACCCCGCCCTCCGCCCCCGCTCCAGCGTCTCCCTAGGCGGGTGGGTGGGCCGAGGTCGCCGGCGGCAGGGACCGTGACCTATGGCCAGGACCGGGCCCCTCGGCCCTTCTGGCTTCCGACCGCTGTTCTGGGAGACCTGGCCAGGCAGGTTCCCAGAGGCGTCTCAGCCTCACTGCCCCGCCGGCCCTGGGAGGGGTCTCGCAGCTTCCATCCCACCGCGTTAGTAGGAGTGGATCCCTGCAAAGGCTGAAAAGTAAGGTGCCCCCAGGAAGGGCCGGCACACGCGGGAATCTCTGAAACTTTTAAACAACAGGAACTCGTCCTACCGCCCGAGCCAGTTGGTCGCAGCACGCCAGGCCTTGCCTCCTGCCTCCTCTCCGGCTGAGAAATGTCCCCGCGGCCCGGCCATGCCTCCACTCACCCGGGCCCCAGCACTCACCTGCTGCAGCACCTTGTCCAGCGGCTCGGCTCGCGCCAAGCTGTCGGCGCTCAGGCCGCTCGCCTCGCGGCACTGCGGGCTCAGTGCGGCCGCCTCGGCGCGAACCAGTGACTTGTGCAACGTCCCCACCTACGAGCGGCGGGGGAAACCGATTAGCCACTGCTCCCCTCGGATCCTGAAACTCCCTGGGGACCCCCCCCCCGCGCCTCACCGTACCTGACGGCTCCGCGGGTCCACCACTTGCCAGACTAGGAGGATCAAGTCGGTCTCGTCGGAGCCCAGGTCCTGCCCCAGCGCACCAGCCGTGGCTCCGAACAGTACGACCAGGGGTCCAGGCCCCGGGCGGGGGTCGGCGGCGGAGTCTGAGATGGGGTTGGGGCCCGGGGGCGGTGGCTGGGGAGGCGGCGGAGTCATGGCCGCAGAGGAAGGGGGCGCTCGGCCAGACACACGCGGACCGACGAGGCGCACGCACGCACCGGCCGACGGCAGACACGAATCAGCTTGGGCGGGACACCGTGTGTCGGGGGCGGCACCTGCAGCCCGGCTGGCGCAGTGGGCGCTGCTGAGACCCGCCCGCGGCGCCCCGTGGGGCGGGGCGGCTACTGGCCCCCGCCCTCTCCGGGCGAGTTACCTGTCGGCCCCGCGGGCCACGTGACCGAGGGCGGCCCCGGGAACAGAGGGGGAAGGCCGCTAGAGCCTCGCCCGGAGCGCGCGCGCTCAGACGCCGGGCCTGGGTGCGCGCTCACGGCCCGGACTCCCACTCCGTCAGAGGGCCTTGCCTGGCTCGATCTCGTCCTCCTCTCTGTCCGTCCCCACCATGAGGCCGGCGCCAAGAAAAATGCAAAAACAGGGGCCTTCTGCAGTCCACAGGAGTCACATGGGATTTGTGAAACTCACCAGGAGGCAGTCTAGGGGCTTTGGGGGTCAACGACGGCCGGCCGGGGGATGATAGAAGTCACCAAAGAGGGCGGTGAATTACTGGCTATCACCCAGAGAGGCCTGGGGGGAGGTGGTCACCAAAGGCCAACTGGGTTGGGGTGGAGGGTCGGGGATCAGCAGAGGTTCTTAGAGCGGTAAGGTCGGGGGACGAGAGGTCACGGGGCAGGGCTTGTCCACACACGTGTGAAGACCTGGCCTTAGCCTGGCTCCAGGATGTGCCCGCGGTGCCAAAACACTCTAGGTGGTGTGCAGGCCTCGGTGCTGGGGAAGCAGGAAGCGCCCCGCTCCAACTCCAGAGAGCGCCACTCTAGACGGGGCTGAGCCGGATGGTCTGGGCCTGGAGCCTCACCGCTACCCCACGTGGAGACTGCTGCCTGTTTTCGTCGCCCTCCCCGCCTGACGACGGGCCTGTTGCCTGGAGATGTGAGCGCGCCGGCGGGTGGGGGCTAGCGGTGAACGTGTGATGTGCGCGTGCGGGCTGCAGATCCTCCATCTCGTCTCCATGCGAGAGCAGGAACCCAGTAAGGACAGTCCCGCATGGAGGGCTCCCAACACCCTTTCGCCCGGTCGTGCTTGGTGAGGCTCCTTTACGGCGCGTGTCCAGGCCGCGCCGTACTTCCCTAAGTGCTCCCCTTCATATGACTGAGAAACTGAAGAATCCGGCGGGAAGAAGGGACGTGGGGATGCCAGGCCCACGCGGAAACTGAGGCTGGAGCCGCACCTCGCGCTTTTGTAAAAGCTGGGCGCTGCGTCCGGACGTTCGGACGTTGGAGAAAGAGCCCGGTGGAGGGGGCGCTTCCGAGGCCTTGCCCATTGAACCCACACTTCAACGCGTCCCTACTTCACTACTGGATAAAGAGACCGAGGTGCCCAGGAAGAGCCGAGACTCGGCGGTCTGCGGGGAGTCGGAAAAAGGTTTTCCAGCCGCTTCGGGTTACGAGCGCTTCCTCCGGGATAGGCGGGGGTCCGCCCCTTTCCGGACCGCCCACTCCGGCGCCTGCCCGCTGGTCCCCACCCGTGGAAGCCTTAGGCCAATCAGGCCGGGCGGGAGGGGGGAAACGTCCCTCTTCGGGTCCAGCTCCGCTCTAGATAAGCCTGGAATGTCAAATATTTGTTTGGGGGCGGGGTCCAACAGTGAAGTAAGGCTCCTCCCCTGCCCACCCTGCAGCGCGCGTGCGCCTGGCGGAGTTGGGCCTGCCTCCATCCACGCCTTCGCGGCAAACGCCTCCTCCCCCGAGGGGTTCTCCTAAAACTCCTTGGCGGGCATCGCTCCTTGTCGCGCTCCTGTCTGGGCTCCAGCTTCTACAGGACAGTCCGGCGTCACCACCTTGCCATCTGAGAGCTAACTCGATCTCGGTCTCAGACTTCCCGGAGCCCCCATCCATTTAACCTCTAGACCTTCACGCTAGGCCCTTCCCTATTCTTCTTTCAGTGTGGGTCTCGAGGTCAGGTCTTCAGGGAAGCCACCTTCTTGAGGTGACCTCTCCATTGTGGCACCTCGAGCCATCCTGGCAGCGTAGGGCAACTCCGCCCGTCTCCAACCGCTTGACAATTCCCGATGCTTGGACTCTTCTTGAAAAACTAAATTCATTAAAATAACGTTAGGAAAAAATTAATAAAATAAATAAAATAACGTTAGAGCCCCTGCTTTGCTGAACTCCTTTACTCATCTTCAGATGGATCCTCCCAGATCACACCATTAATACTAAACAACCCTCATTCCTTTCCCCCAACACTAAAGTAACTTCATAATAAATGACAAATCATTTATTGTCTCCTTACACCACATCCACCCCGAACTCAGATCCCGGAGGACAGGCTCATTCCCAGGGCTTATCACTGCGCCTGGCTTGTAGTAAACTTGCTCAAGACTTAATGAATGAATGAATGGTTGTCTTAAGTGCTTTGCTTTGCATCATCAGCCTAGTAACTTTCAGCACTAGTAACCTTCCCTGGGGCTACGGGCCTTTTCCTCTAGGAGTCTCATCTGAGCTCTTTCCTCCCCCCTCCCAACCCATCCCTTGTCCTAGTTAACGCCTGCTCTTCTTCCAGATTTTCTCTCAAGCCACCTCCCTCTGTAGCAGGGGTCCCCACTGTAGTATGAGATTTCCTGTATTTCATTGGGCAGTGTCCCCCATCGCAACCCAGCTACTAGGGTTCATAAATCGTTAATGAATGAATTGAAAATAACATTCGTGAAAGGGGTGAGCAAGGCTCCAAAGGTCCAGCCCGTAGCGTTTCCCAAACTATAATGCAGGTACTTGGGGGAAAGGAACTTGGTCCTGTGATCCAGGCCACACACTTGCGGAATCCCATCCTTATCTCAGCCCCTGGAGGCCTGCTATGGAGGCAACTGGCGCTCCAGCGGCGGGTACGTGAAGGTCGGCGCAGGTACCGGGTGGGGGTCCTCATGTGGGCCCCGGAGTGTGGCCGGTCATGTGGACCTGCAGGGCATCTAGGAGTGGTGTAAAAGGGCCCTCTTCTCTCCCTCCCAGGCCAGAAAATATCCCACTGTGGGACAGGATGCTACCCTGGATGCCTTGTGGGATCCACTGCGGCGATCTACACTCGCCGGCTCTGGCCCATCCACACCCTCTGCGGCCCAGTGGACCGCAACTTGACCGTCTGCAGCTACCCTTATCTCCTGGCCCTCCAGGGTAGCCAGCGCACTGGGTTCCACCCAGGTTCCCAGCTGAGCGCCTTTGCCGAATCTTCGCTGAGTACCCACCAGAGGGCGCACTGACCCTGTCGCCTGAACCAGGCGTTGAGGGCTGGGAGGAGGAACTTGCACAGGAGAGCCCAACCCGCAAGGCTCTAGGACAGAAGTGAAAAGGGAAGGGCCTTGAGACCGCCTCCCTCTGGTTTGAGCATCTTTGCGGATCCTGGCTTCCTGGACAGAGGCCAAGTTTTTAAGCTTGGTTTTCAAGACCTCCAACCTCTCTGTTCCATTCCCACCCACCATGTGCCCCAGACACACTTAACTGTGATTGTTCAGGTCTCCAGGCTGTTGCAAATACTAAGCTCCCTACCTGGAGCACCCACCCACCTACTCATCCCTTTGTTTTCCTGGCAAATTCCTACTTATTCTTCAAGACCCATCTCGAATAATTCTTCCTCCAGGTAACATTCGTTGATGCCTAAGCCAGGTTAGATAACCTGTTCTGGGGGCGCCTGGGTGGCTCAGTCGGTTGGGCACCTGCCTTCGGCTCAGGTCATGATCCTGATGAGGGAGCAGAAGGCTGGCTGAAGACAAAGCATAAGCTGACACTCTGCAACCACCCCCATCCCCCACTCCTGGGTGGGACATATGTGACATTCTTCAGGAATCTCCCAACTATCTTAATGTTAATGTCTTGCTAGAGGGGAAAAACAACCTTAAGCTGACAATGGCAAGGCCTCCAGTATCTTGTAGGTCCTCCTTAGCATATGAAAGTTCTTTTTCCTTACCATCCCCCAACCCCATAGTATATAATCAGCCACCCCTCACAACCCCGGTGCCCAGCTTTTCTGCCCATGGCCCTGTTGCCGTCCTTTTATAAACCAGCATTCTGCACCAAAGACGTCTCAAGAATTCTTAGTCGTTGGCTCCAGACTCCACCCCACTGAGCCTAACCTATATTCCAAAACCCCATCGATCCCAGGACTCTGGGATCGAGCCCTGCATCCAGTGCCTGGCTCAGTGGGGAGCCTGCTTCTCCCTATCCCTCCCGCTCCCTCTGCTTGTGCCCACGCTCTCTCTGTGTCAAATAAATAAATAAAATCTTAAAAAAATATATAGATAACCTGTTCTGTCATGATTTGGTCAGTGTTCGGCTCTGGCATCAGAGGAATAAGAGCCTGATGAACTGTGAGCTTTAGGGAGAATCAGTTGGCCTCCAAATGGGCTCAGCTCTGGCTTAGAAGCCGTGGTCTTGGTTGGGTTGCCCGAAGCCCAGGCACCCACCTCGTCCAGACAGGGGAGCTTGCAACTTGTGCGAGCAAGAGGGAATGCAAAGGACCCAGTGTAACAGAGAAAGGGTAAAGGCTGTTGGCTGGATTCTCATCGGAGGAAGATAGCACAACTGGCCTGTGGCCCTCTCAGTCCCTTATCTCCTTCTCCAGGTCTGAGAGGCACCCACCAGGACCATATCCTGGAAGGGGGAAGTGTTAGAGAAGGGGGCATATCACTCAATCATCCAGTATATGTTAAGCACCTGCTGTCTGCCTGGGACTGTGCTGATGATACCTAGTAACCAAGAAGGCAGTTGCACCAGTAACAGGCAGGTGAAGGCTTCCTCTTCCATGGCTTATATTCTGCTGGGAGTCAGGCAGGGGCTGCTCCAGAATCAATGGTCGTGTCTGCGCTGAGGCCTAAGGGCAGAGCTCAGCTGAGTCCCCCAAACTGGGGGCTGCAGAGTGACCCCAGTGCAACAAGTGCAGAGGTCCAGAGCAAGAATGAGGTTGTCCTGTTCTAGGCAGCGAGGAAGCTGTTGAAGGTGGAGACGAGCGAGCTGAGGAAGGGGGGAAGTGAAAGTTGTGGGAAAAGGCCAGAGTCCCCTGCAGGCTCCTCATTCACTAT